GGCATTTTCACCTGTAAGCCTCACAGGTAACTAAAAATATTAACTAAAACCTAATTATAGATCTTATTTCCCCACCCCAAATTTGTACCCTCTTATCCATCCTTTGTTTCAGTCATCAGCACCACCATTAATCCAGTAATCTATTCCAGATACCAGGACACCATCTGAGAGGGTACCAGGCCTCTGATGTGGCCTGTATTCAGGTGCCCCTGTTTTCCATTTTGTCTCCTAAATAAACCTTAAATATTTTCCCCAATTCACCTCTAATGCTTAATTTATGTCCTCATTTTGATTGCTTGAAATGATTGCCATTCACTTTTTTTAAAAATTCAGGTATAACATATATGTGCATACATTTAGTATGTATGTATATTAATATATATGTTATGTATCACATAACTACATGACTTTATATCAATACATATATTAAAGTGCATAAAGTGCAACTGGATAGTTGCCAGTTATATTATATTGTTTGCTCTTAGAACTTTGCTTAGTATGAAATAGGTTCTTAATTTATATTTGTTGAGCTCAATTTCACATTGCTCTGTATACTATCTATCTCTATCCCACTGTCAGGAAGACTGTTCCAAAGCACATATTAATCCTTCGGTAACTTTTGACTGAAAAACGATATAGTACAAACTACTTAGCCATACTAATCTATCTTTACAGTTTCTTTTCCTGGAACGTCCTATCATTCTCTTTGAAGCTATATGATTCCTTGTGGTACATGAAATATATCATACACTCTCTCACTTCTGAGTTTTTCTAAATATATAGTGCTCCTCCTGCTTCTTCCCCAGTTTGCTAAACTCTTCCTAATCTTAGCTCAAGTATGGACTCACATTGAGCTTATTACCTGATTCTCACAGACCAAGTGTCTCTTCTCTGTGCTCATGTATTTTCCTATGCTGATCTCTACTGTAGCACATAATACACTATAGTAATAACTACCATCTTCTTTTCTTTTTATTCCACTATATAGTAAAATATCTATTTTATTTATGATTTATTTGAACTTTTTAAAGTTTCTTAATGATATAAACGATATTTTATTTATTTCAGTATTCTCAAAACTTCATTAAGGGCCCAGTACTTAGGAGGTACTCAATAAATGTTTCTTAAATAAAACTACCAGAATATTTTGAATTTAACATATAACAACACATATTATACATTTTTTCTTCATCCATTCTTGAGTACTTAACAAATATTAGCTTTGAAAACTAAATGTAAAAAATTTTCCCTTTTCCTTCTTTGGAATATATGCTAATGTGAGCAAAGGCTTCTTTCACAGCAGATAAGGGGTTCAACTCTCAATTGCTTACCAATGGCTAGTGGAAAAATAGGAGCTAATAGGAATTCCTGTTTCTGTCTTATCCAAAAGATATCTTAATACTCCTCTAGAAGAAATATAGAATTGTCATGGTTTCTTAATGAATCTAAGAAGAACAAACACTGAGTTTTTTGTTTTCTACAAAAGTAGTTATGTCTTAAACCTGAACTGAAAAAAAAAAATTCAAATTCTAAACTTCAGTTCAATAATTTTAGAAAGCCCTCTCTCATACTGTGCGCTCTTTCCTCCTATCCTCCCCTAATGAAGACTTACAGTCCATAAGTATTCATAAGTATTCCATAATGGAGTATTTTTTGTAAACCAAGAGGAGCCTCACAAAGAATAACGATTTCTGAAGAATGGAGGGAGTTATGAATGACAGCTAGTTTTATAGATTTATCAACTAGAAAGGAGAAGGAAATTGTGTAGTTCCTGTATTTAAGGAAGAAGTTCATAATTGCATGGCTAGCTGTGGCATTATGATTAGGTTTTTGTCCATGGTTCCTAGCTCCTAACTCCCACAACTCTTGTTATAGTCTTTTGTTACGATGTTGCGGTGCTTCAGGCCTTGGAAGCAGGCCTCAGGAAACAGTCTCTCTCTCTCTCTCTAACCTTCTCCTGCCCTGCTCTCACTTGCTGAAGACAGGACTCTAATATTTAGACTATGGGTCATCAGACCTTCTTTCCAGAGAGGGTCCTGCTGCATACTCTGGAGGAAGGAATGCTGCACAGAATGACCAAGAAGAATCTGAACAGACAGGACTTGCTGGATTTAAATCATACCCTTTTTGTGCAATCACGTTAATCATGGACAACCAATGAAGTCTCATAGAAGCCCCAAAGGACAGGGTTCAGGGAACTTCTGGGGAGCTGAACATGTGGAAGCTGACAGAAAGATGAAGAACTCATCCACGTGTTGGGAGGGTAGTGCACTCCAACTCCACGAAGACAGAAGCTCCCGAACTTGGGACCCTTTCAGACCTCACCCTATGTCTCTTCATTTGGATGTTAATATCCTGTAAAATATCCTTCAAAATAAACTGGTAAAAGTAAGTATTGGTTCCCCTGAGTTCTGTGAGCCACTCTAGCAAATTAATCAAACGCAAAGAGGGGGTTGTGGGAACTCCAACTGGAAACTAGTCCGTTAGAAGTTCTGGAGGCCGGGACTTGCAACTTGGGGAGGGGAGAGGGTGGTCTTGTGGGACTGAGCCCTTTACTTGTGGGATCTGATGCTATCTCTGAGTAGATGGTGTTGAAACTGAATTGGAAGACATCTAGCTGGTGTCCACTCCTTAATATGGGGGGGAGAAACACACACACATTTGGTCACAAATGTCAAGTTTTCTTAATGAACCTAATCACAAAATAAGAAGAATAAATGCTGAGAGGATTTTTGTTTTTGTTTTTGTTTTTAATAAAAATGGTTATGCCTTAAACCTGAATGGGAAAAAAAAAATCCAAATTCTATACTTCAATTCTCTGACCTTCTCCTTTTCTCTTCTTCTATGTTGATGATTATTGTTGTGGTGTGAGATAGAGGAAAAGCAAAGTCCGAGACTTTTTCCAAAATATTAGCATATTAGACTTCAGAGTTTCACAGGCTAGTAATTTTTTTTTTAATTGAGAAAACCAACATAAGATCCCTCACTTTCAACTGCCTGTGCAGAAGTAATTTAACATAGCAGGCCTGAGGCTGTTATCTTCAGAAAAGTTTAGGTGCAAGTTTACCCTTGGCTAGTGATGTGGTTTGGCTCTGTGTACCCATGCTGAATTGTAATTCCCAATGTTGGGGGAGGGACCTGGTGGGAAGTGACTGGATCATGGAGGTGGATTTTCCCCATGCTATTCTTGTGATAGTGAGTGAGTTCTCATGAGATTTGATGCTAAAAGTGTGTGGCACATTCCCCTCTTGCTCTCTCTCTCTCTCCTGCCACCTTGTGAAGAAGGTGCTTGGTTCTCCTTCGCCTTCTGCCATGATTGTAAGTTTCCTGAGGCCTCCCAGTCATGCTGCCTGTTAAGCTTGTGGAACTGTAGGTCAATTAAACCTCTTTTCTTCATAAATCTCAGCGCACTGCAACTTCTGCCTCCAGGTTCAAGTGATTCTCCTGCCTTAGCCTCCCGAGCAGCTGGGATTACAGGCACGTGCCACCATGCCCGGCTAATTTTGTATTTTCAATAGAGATGGGGTTTCACCATATCGGTCAGGCTGTTCTCAAACCCCTGACCTCAGGTGATCCGCCTACCTCAGCCTCCCAAAGTGCTGGGATTACAGGCGCAAACCACCACACATGGCCATCAAGCAGTTCTTTATAGCAGTGTGAGAATGGACTAATACAGCTGGCATCTGGGAACCTGTCTTTTGAAAACCTTTCCTAAATGATAATGTTGTGCCTGCTGTGCCAGCCTACTTAAGACCGTAAAATGAGATTTACGATGAACACCTTTCCTTTTGAGAGAGTCTGGAATTTTGGTTGACAAGAAGGTGCCAACATGATCAATCCTCAATTAAGAAAATAAAAACCCTGAACTCTGAAACTAAAATGGAGTTCCTGATGTACTGCATACGTTACTGAATTTTAAGTTGAAGGACAGGTGTATAGGGAAGGCTGAAAAACATGGATTCCTCTAGACTCCTCCTGATGTCTTTTTCCATTAATAATCTGGCTATATATCTTTACTATGTCACTGTAATAAATCTTAGCTATGAGTATGATTGAATGTTGAGTTGTACGAATCCTTCCGGGGAATCACAGAACGTGTAGGTGAAATCGGAGACTTCTGAAACACTACTATGTAAAGATAATAAACAAGGAGAGGATCCTATCATCATATTTCACAAAAGTATATGTTAATAAAATTCTGCTCTTTACTCTGACCATATGGAAACATGGAGCATAACATCAGAATAGAAGGCAGAATTTTAAATGAAATAAATGTAGCATTAGGAGAAGTTTAATAATTAGCCTTATTTTTCTCATTTTGCTACAGATCAGTGAAAATCTCATCATGAACCAGTAACAGACATGTGCTTAAGAACTATGAGGTTAAGTAAGTTTTGCCTGGATATGCCTTTCCTCCAATTTACTTTCTTCTGAAACTAAAAGTACTAAAAAGAAACGTTATGTGTACAGGGATAATTTTAAAAGCTGAAACTTTTAGTAAGTCATTAAAGATTTCACTGAAATAGTCTACTTTTAACTGTTATAAAGAATGGAAGAGTATTATAAATTAAAAACATATTTTGTTCTTGGCTATTTCAAGATTTGAAGTTTTCCTGCCAGCCAAATAACAACGTAAAAACTACCAAAACCAAACAAACGGAGACAGTGATACTTCTAACTTTGTCATAAAACTGTTTTTATAGTTATTTCCTCCTTATTTATAAATACTGATATTTTAAAATTATTTATGGAACACAACATTCACAATCTTCCACAATCACCTGAAAAGGAGCCCATGAAATCAACTCTTCCTATGGGTGGCAATATTTTTAAAAAAACAACAAACAAAAACCTCAAATTTCATCCATTAATATATACCTGCATTTCTGTAATTATAGCTCTTCAGGACAATTTCTGAAAATATAACATTTTTGATGCAAAAGGCCCTAAAATTCCATGTACCAAGATAAAGAATAACTTTCAAAACCAGAACCACACACCTTTTGCTGTAATTCTTTCACTGCAGAATCTCTATCCATGCATGCCTGCCGGAAGGCTTCATATGCTTTATTGAGTTGCTCGCCAATGTTTTTATCCATTCCTCTTCGTCCTGTAGCATCACTATAAAGGATGGAGTAAATGACAGGTCTGCAAAATAATGAGAACAATTTAGATAATTACTAAGTTACATAAATCTCATTTTAAAAATGTACCTTAAAGATAGTTCTATAAGGTTTACCACAAACATTATAGCACCAAATACTAAACATAAGTCTCATTTAAAATCCTGACTAGAAATCTTATGAAACCTTAAGTTCTACAATTTTTAAATATTTTTATTCTAATGTTCAAGGAGCAAGTGGGGTTCCAGTTCAGGAAGATGCTATTTTGAGAACAGTAATCTATAAACTTAACCTAAAAATGAGAAAATATAAAAGGTCATTTTAAATTCTTTATTATGGAAATGTACAATAGGATCAGCAATGTGGGAAGAGATTTCGTTTTACTAAACAGACTCATTCCCACTTACGAGGTGAATTCTTGCTACACTGAAATTAGAGCAAAATTAAATAGATAATAAATGTTTGTGGATGGAGTTCACACTGTTGTTATCACAGAGCAATTAAAATGTGTGAAAATGTTCTTATTTTAGCACAAAATCTAGGGAGAGTTGCTGTTGCATTGTACATTAAAAAAGAAAAATTACATCCCTTCAGTCCTACCCCCAATACCTATTAGTTTTCTAACTTCCCTGCTGTTTCTGAATACAGGTGATTTGCTCAGTGGAGGTAATTTGGTTTTATAATCTCAGTTTGCATAACATCTCTTAATGACATTCCTTTGCTCTGAGCAGAAGGCTAACTAATGACTCCGATTCTTCCTGTCCAACTGTAAAAACCACAACACAGGACCCTTCTGTTAATCCTCTAAAAGCCACAGACTAGACAAAGTTCTCTATCAGTTATATTGGGTACCAAATTATTTCATATTTCTGAAAATTCTTCAAAATTTCAGTCTCTAATCTGTCCTAATCTTTTGTTACATCTTTAGGCACACTTTTAAAATTTTCACATTTTCAATTGAGATACAATTCATATAGTATAAAATCCACTATTTTAAAGTGTACTGTTTGGTATTTTTTAGAATATTCATTATGTTATGCAATCATCACCATCATCTAGTTCTGGAACATTTTAATCACCCTCCCGAAAACAGTCCATACCTATTAAGTTAGTCCCAATCCTCCTCTTCCCCCATCTCCTGGTAACCATTAATCTTTTTTTTTTTGTCTCTATGAATTTGCCTATTTTTGACACTGCATATAAATGGAATAATACAATACACGCTTTTTGTGTCTGGCTTCTTTCAGAAAGAATAATGTTTCTGAGGTTCATCCATGATGTAGCATGTAACAGTACTTGACTCCTTTTTATGGCTAAATAATATTTCATTGTATGGATATGCCACACGTTGTTTATTCCTCAGTTGATGGACATTTGAGTTGTTTCCACCTTTTGGCTACTATGAATAAGGCTACTGTGCACATCTGTGTATACATTTTTGTGTGAACATGTTTTCAGTATTTTCAGATATACACCTAGAAGTGAAACTGCTGAGTCATATGGTAATTCTATGTTTAACTTTTTGAGGAACTGCCAGTTTCCACAGAAGCTGTATCATTCTACATTTCCACTAGCAATGTATAAGGGTTCCAATTTCTCCACATTCACACCAATACTTCTTATAGTCCATTTAAAAAATTACAGCCATCCTAGTGGGTGTGAAGGGGTACCCTATCAAGGTTTTGATTTGCAGTTCCCTAATGACGAGCATCTTTCCATGAGCTTATTGGCCATTTGTGTATCTCTGGCAATGTATCCATTCAAATCCAGTGTCCACTTGCAGTAAGTGGGTTATTTCTCTTTTTATTGTTAAATTTTAAAAGTTCTTTATATTTTCTAGAAACTAGACTGCTAGCCAATACGATTTGTAAGTATTTTCTCCCATTCTGTAGATGTCTTTTTACTTCTTGATAGTGTCCTCTGACACACAATGTCTTTAATTTTAATACAGTCCAATTTACCTATTTTTTCTTTTGTTGTTTGTACTATTGGTGTCATATCTAAGGAACTGTTGCCTAATCCAGGGTCATGAAGATTTTCAGCTGTTTCTTTTTAATAAGTTTATAATTTATATTAAAGTCTTTGATCCATAGTGAGTTAATGTTGTATAAGGTGTGAGGTAGGGGTCCAGATTCATTCTTTTGCATGAGGTTAGCCAATTGCCCTGGCACTATTTGTTGAAAGGGTTATTCTTTTCCCACTGAATAGCCTTGGCACCCTTGCCAAAAATCAACTGATCATAAATCACAATGTTCTTTTAAATACCCACATGCAAGTAATCTTTCAGCCAAAGTCTTTCATTTTAAGATACTAGATACATTTTAAGTAATTTACATTTAAGTAATTTACCTGGAATAAAAACAATTCCAGGGTTTTGGATAACAATGTCATTACTTTCCGAAAAACTGAAGAAATGGCAACTCTATGCATTCCACTTAGGAAGTTAGTTTCTACTGCTGTCTCTGATAGATGAAAAAGTTGAAATCTTGTTAGGATAATTAACATTGCTAGGATCTCTGCCCAGACATAGACAATATGGAAACATAAGCAATTAGCATTAATAAAAAGCACCATTTTGAGTATTTTAGACACTGCTTCATTCAAAAACATACTAAGGCTACTTATAAAAAATACATGAGATTAAAAATAAATACGCAAAGAGGAAAGAAAAAGTAAGTATAGGCAGTCACAGGGACTATAATATACTAATACAGAAGTTAGAGGTTTTAAGTAGCTAAGTGGCTAAGTTAAAAAGCCTTAAAAAGCTGCATGTCATGAAAAATTGTCAATGTAAACCACACCTGTACTTTTAGATCTGGGACAAATAAGAGCCTTGAACTGGAAATCCATCTAGTTCCTTGCTTTGTTCTATTACTGACTGACCCTTAGTTAAGGGCCACTAAATTTTTTGGGACCAAAGTTTCCTTTTCTTCAGTACAAAAAGGTGTTTGGACTCAATTTCTAAGACACTTCCTTGTTCTACAGTTCTTGAGTTTATGAGTTAAAAATGCATGTCTGTTCCATCGACAAGATGCATTCTTGTTTTTAAAAACGTAAATGCAGCACTAAAAATAGCTGCATCATATGCAGGTAAATCATGTGGAGCCATCACTTCAGGTCCTTGCATTAGATTACACAAATGTCACTAAGAGAGGAGCTACTGAGTAAATTCCACACAGATGTGTCCTATTTCCTGAAATAAGAATGTATGCTGAAGAAATAAGTTCCAGGTTGACACAAATAAGTAAATGATACTTTTAATTCCTATTTCACAACCAAGAAGGGAATTAGGTGTTAGATCAGCAACACCGACTAGCGTAAAAGGAAAGTCTCTGGGACTCGGCTAATTAAAATGGACAGATTTCAAATATTAACACCCTGAACTTTAAAGCCACTTGTTTATTTATTTTTAGCATTTGTTAAGTATAAAATTAATTTAAGAGGCAGCTACATTTCAATTACATTTCAGTACCCCTTCCGCAATATTTGCCAGACTCCAGGAGAATGCTTTATATTTATAGTAAACATGCTCAAACCCAAATCTCATGGTTAAGCTCATTCTCCAAACCCAGGAGACTGCTACAGCAACCTCTCCCTTGAAAACACTCTTGTAGTTAGGGTTTCGCTTTATTTCTGGATTTGGTTTGCTGGTTTCCTTCCATTACATGAGAAAAAAATTCTGAAATCCCAGAAGGTAGCAGGGTTAGCTCAATGCAAATCACCATCCCAATCTTGTCCCCTGCAATTCTTCTGGAGCGTGGATACTCTCATCTACCCACTGTTGTCCCTCTAGCAGTAATTCCTTTTTTCCTACCCAGACCAGTGGTTCAGACAAGCAAAACTGAGGGCAGCAGGTTCTTGTCCCACCTATCCAGCCCAGTGATTGACCATGGTGTGCCTGTCCATGAAGAAATACCAGGAAAATCCCTGCTTCCTCTTTCATTGATCCCTTGGTTCAATAATGAAACTGTCCTGGAGTAGGAGAGGCAGCATGAGCAAGAAAGATAATTTTCCCTTCCTTTGGTAAAGCTTCCCAGCCCTAACAAAGCTTTGATTTTAATAAAATATATCCCATTACCCTTCAATTAGAACAAAGTATTTGCTGGCTTATTATGTGTAAGGCACCATATGGGGAACAGCAAGGGATTCAAATATAGTACTATCTTAAAGTTATGTTTCTTTCACAAAGTATTTTCACCAATTCTTCATTTCCTACTACATATTAATATTCCTGTTTGACTGATAAGGCTCAGAAGGCTTAAATGACTTATCTATAGCTATAAAGCTGTGTTATGAACTAGATTAAATCTTTAAAATTCTTAGTTCAAGGATTGTTCATTAAAGCCAGCTGCAAAGTGCTCTCCCAGGGTGTTATGGTTAATATGCTTATTTGATAAAATATTTTGTGCCAACTATGAGCAGAAGTGTGCTGGATACCACTGATGCCGTGAGAACAAAACAGACATGAAATCTCCTCCCATGAAGGTACCATTAACTGTAACTTGAAGCATACAGTAGGTGAATATCTTAAGATATCCAAAAGGCTATAGAGTTTGGAGAGGAAAGTTCATCTATTTATGAAGTTTAGGAAAGGCTTTGAGAGGCAGGTGGTATTTGAATAGGGTTTTGAAATATAGGTGGGAATGATCTTACCCATTCCTTTTATTTAATTATCAAATGGCAGTCATCCTTTTTCAAACAGGTTTCCCACTGCGATAAGGATGTTTTTAATATTAAATAACATCAATTCTTTACTAAAACAGGCCAGGATTATATGCATTTCTTATGCATTGCTCAGGTTGATTGTCCTGATCAGGACAACCATACAAACCTGAGACAATTCTTAAGCATAACAATGATGGTTACTATAAACATGACAGATCAGGCTAAAGCTTTTCCCATGATGCCTGAAAGCAAGTAGGGGTGGAAATGAAAGAAAAGGTAAGTTCTACAGCCTTGATTTTCTTTGTTATTAAGACAAAGAGTTTGGATAATAGAGTTTCCTTTAACTTTATAATTGTATAGCATTACCAAACTATACAGAGCACAAAAACTTTTGCTCATAAATGATATCATATATTTAAAAAGAGTAGGTGCTTTGTCTTAATTTATGTTACAAATTAAGCCTTGATTGCAAACCAGTTGCTAGGGCATTTCATTTCAGAATGGTGAGAAGCAAGGAGTAAAGTTATATAGAGTGTCCTGGAAGTAAAGAGATGATATGATACTATAAAAATATGTGATATGAAAAATATGTGATTACAAATAATACTGTGAAAATTACTGTGACTTTTGTTTATTCAATAACGTTTATATATTTCCTCCTAAACACTTTACTGAGTGAAAAAAAAATACAGGCTTTAAATTCAGACCCAAGATCTGCAATTTCCTAGCCGTTTACTGAACTCTGAACATCAGTTTGTATATCATACATAGTTTGTAGGGTTACAATAAAAATTGAGACCATATATACAGTAAAAAGTAAAATTTAAGTGAGATCATATACAAAAGATGTTATTTGTTCCTCAATATCCATTCTCCCCTTCTCTTATAGTACTAATATTTCTGATTTTTAGCTCGTGTGGTCATGTGACTATGTGCTAGTTATTGGCAAATGGGTGTAACTTCCATAACAAGTTTTCCCTTTCACCTTTTTCTCTTTCCCAGTTGGATGGAATGTTATGGTGACAAGCCACCTAGAACACTGTGATGCAGGCAACACTTGTTTAACTACTGCTTTGTGGGTCTCTAAAGGAGGAACTAACTGAGCTGTATCCTGATTGGTACAATGTTCAAGACTGGTTCAGTGTTGAACACACAGTAGGCACTCCTTTTCTCCCTGGGAAACAGAAAAACAGTCATGGTCTTTGCCTTTTTCTCCAATTAAAGCTTATAATGGAGTGAGGCAGACACACATGAAAATAATTAGCCAAAAGGTCAATTATAAATGTTTAAAAAAAAAGGTCTGGGCACATCTTCATAGAGGTCTGGGTAGCACAGGTATAAGCATTTGTAGGACCTCACCCAATGGTTCACTAGAGATTTACGCATTTCATTCAAAGTTTTACCTAAAAAGAAGAAGAAAACTGTTAAGCAAAAGGTATAAACAAGATGAAGGCTCAATAGAAGGAAGAATTAAAATAAGAAGGATTGTGGAAGGCTTCACAGAGGATCTGACACTTAAACCAGCTCCCAGAAGATGAGAAGAGTTTCAACAAGTAGAGAATGAATGGGAAAAGTACATTCATTCTGAAAGAGCAGAGGCCCTGAGGAGTCGTTAGTATGGTGCATTTAGTGATGAGAGTGAGTATTCTGTTTATGCAAGTCTAGCACGTGTGCAGAGATGATACAGAGGTGAGGGTGCCAAAATGAGCTACAGTCAGGGTCAGCACATATGACTGTGCTGTACTACAAAAATCCTAGGGAAGACCATACGTAAAGACTATGATTGGAATGGCATCCCATAGAGCTGTAGAGTACACTGACCACATAAACCACATGCAGCAGACTCAGTTATGGCTAGACTATAGCAGACCTCAAATGTCACTCTAAGAAATTTAGTCCTTAACATGTTGACACAAGGAGTAATGAGAGGTTTTCAAGGAGATGATAGACATATTTTAGAAAGACAGAACAGATAACAACACAGACTACAAACTAGTGAGGGAGACAAAGTGACGCTACACCACAGGCAACTATTGCTGTATTCCAGGTAAAAGATGAGGGCTTGAATTAGAGCGGGGGAAATAAAGATGAGTGGATTCAACAGACATTTCAAGAGTAGAATTAACAGGATTTGATGGCCGACTGGATGTGCACAATAGACAAGAGGGCAGCAATTCAGGTACCTGTGACTGCAAATCAGTTGGCCTGAAATGGGACCTCGGAATCTACACTCTAACTAGCACAGTGCCTCAGGTGATTTTGTTGCAGATGGTTCACCAGCCATTATTTTTCAAAACACCCAGCAGAAAGTGGTGATAGCCAGACATAAAGAGACAGAAACAAAATTTTCAGGAGAGGGAAGATACTGAATCCAATTTTGGACAACAGTGCTAGAAAAGACATCATAATAAAGAGGAAAAAAGCAACAACTATATAATTATCTATAGGAAAAAATGAAGACTAACTATGCCTTCCCTATTGTTTGTATTCTTGAAGACTTGTTTTTAATGTCCCCTGATACTAGTACATCCTTGGATGGCCAATTAGGCCAAAATCGTTTTACCAAAAAAAAAAAAAGAAAAAAACTACATTTTTGAAAAGAAAATAATAGAGAAAAGCGATACGCATTATTGCACCACCTTATAGCACAAGATGTACATGTTTTTCCTATCAAATAGAAACCAAAAAAGAGGACAGGCCCACTTATTATTTATTTGAAGGAGGTCAGAAGGAAAACTAGAAAATGCATAAAATAGTGTATGACACTTTATGTCTGTTATTTTATGTAAAAAGACTATTAATAAAAGATGTAGAAATGTTATCTAATGCTCTGCTTTGTTAACCTTTATGCGCTGTTAAATAACAGGAAAAACAACTCTGGCAGAGTATTTGAATGCAAGATTTTCCTTAAGTATCTTCTACTCTACCAGATTTATAAATAAATAATAAGGTAGTACTAATGATTTTTCAAAAGAGTGGTAGAGTTTGTATCTATCTTCTGGTCTTAAACAGAAAAGTTTGAAAAAAAATATTTTCAGTAATCTCAAAAAGGTCCCCCAAAACACAAGACAATAATGTAAGAGAAGTCACAGGCTGCACAAGATTCATAAATGGTAAAGTTGTTTTGAAAGAGAAGTAGTTAAAATCTTACGAGTTAATGGGTTGGCTGCCCCTCCATTATCCCTGAGTCATTTACTGTATCAGAAAAAAACACTATGGAGGAAGAGAGCTTTTCTATGAAAAAAGAGTTGAAATTTCAAGAGATAGAGGACCTTTTCACAAAAGGGCCTAATTTCTCTTTAAATCACCATTTAAAATAGCTGAGCAGCCATTTAGCCTTGAGAACATTACCAATGATAAATAGGAACAGGCAAAAACCTACATAATTATAAAGCTTTACTCTGTGCTCTTAACCACTGGCACAGGACTCTACAGCTCTTCATATCCCTTGTTTTTAATTTCCCTGAGGACACCTACAGGCTGTTGGATTTGCAAGTCACAACTTGTTTTATTAGAAGTAATTGTGAGAACTTGAATAAAAAAATAAAAAAGGTTTCAGAGATTTCCAGATCTCCATTTTCAGTTATTCCGAAGATGTTTAGGGTATGACTTTAATATATTAGCTTAAAACCAGATCTAATATTTTTAATCCAGTACCATGCAACAAGTTCTCTCCTTCAGACTGTTGAATATTCCTAAAGAGAAGCCTACAAAAATCCCTGGGCAGCCCAACAGACCAACATTTCAAACTTGCATCTGTGCCAAAATTACCCAACTTTCTACCCTTTTCAAGGCCACACCAGTTTACCTCAAATATGAATATTCAGACCTAGTAAATCTTAATACTTTCTGTGCCACCCTACTGTGGGGAAGCAATAGTTGATTAGAAACTCAGATTTGCTGTTTCACTTCCTTTTGTCTCTGGAAAAAAATAAAAGACACTATAAAATAAAGATTGCAAACCAAATTTTTAACTAGACCACATCTTGTGTAAAATGTACTAATTTCTCTGTTAAGGCAATTTAGATTAGATTCTCTAAATTAAAAAGCCTAGTCAACTGAAGATAAAAATCAGAGTTGAAGTACACAATACATGTCCAGTCTAGACAGGCTTGGTGATGGGAGAGAGTAAACAAGTCATTTAACCTTTCTATGGACCTCTGTTCCCCCATCTCTCCCAATTTAGAATCTTGGGGTAGAGTCAGGTTATAGAACATTGGTTCACAACCTGTCAGCACATTAGAATCATCCATGGTAGTTTTAAAAAATACATTACCAAACCCTGTCCAAGACTCCTGGATCTAATTTTGTACAGGGGGGAGATGTAAGATAAATTTAAAATTACTGCCATGGCGGGTCAAGTCATAGTTTGGAAAGCACTATAAAACACTACACAAATATGCACCAACGAAGGGAAACAGGCTTTCATAAAGTTGCCTTTTTTCCCATAGTGATCTGCTTTTTAAATTATTCTATAAGAAGTATATAGAATTTAGGAACAAAAATAGCAGTTGCTAAGGTAGAAGACTTTCTCAAATAAATAAATAAATAACGGTATTTTGATACTTTGGCAGATGGCCCAGAGCAACAGCACTTTATTGATCTTGGTTCCATAAAACTTCCACAACTCATCAACTTGTATGACAAATATTTTCTCTATTAATGGCATTTGCACTGAAGTTCTTGTTGAGAAATTTGACTGACCATAGCCCATCTCCCACTAAGTAGCAATGACACTTTTAACTTGATGTTCCCCCTATCAATACTCTAATCATCCTAATTCTATTTAAATTCTCAAACTATCTATAGATAGTTGAGAGACAAGATAGATCTCAAAGACATGCCTTTAATTCAAAGAGGTACAAAGAATCATGGATCAGAAGGACAATCTCAGTCTTCTGTTTGAATGGCAGTCATCCCAACAATGAAGAAGGTGGTTCCCTATTTGATCATAGGAAGCACTGGGGTTGGGGTAGGAACAAATATCTATTTGCAGGTGCTTTACATAAAACTACCCCATTTTTAATCTTCCCTCTGCAGAAGCATATATTGTCTGCCCTTTACAGAGGAGGAAACTGAACTTCAAAACTGAGCTTCAAAAGGGTAAATAAGTTGCATAAGACACAGAATTAGAAAATAGAAGAACCAGATAAATCTAGGTCTCTGTTGCTACAGCACAATTTCTAGCTCTCTCCCCTCTAATTTAGTTTTTATTTTAATCAGAGCTATACATACCTATATCTTAATGAGTTGAGCAGTTCTACAAGAAAAACGGTAGTTCTCTGCTTTCCCCTCCCCATTTCCTGCTTCACCTTGGCAACAATTCTTTTGACTAATTCTTTTTTGTATTTATCTCTGTATCTCTAAATAACAGGTAATATGGCCACCACTGATTTTTCAGTTTTTGTCTCCCCATCATGGAAAATTAGGATTCAGCTCTCTTTAAACATTCCCTACCTCCTATTCTCCCCATTTCCCCAATACAGTTATATCTAATTTTTCATTAGATTAGCATTCAGCTTTTACTTTCTTATTACTATGTAATGCTATTCACTGCTGAACAATATAATATACCATGGATGCTTTTCCTTTCCTGAAAATTTTTTTCCCTGAAAATTTTTGTTTGCTTTGTTTCCTATTATCACTAACACAACTCCTCAACACATTGAGACACTTCAGGTATTCTATCTCTTTAGAGGAATCACTCTGTAAGCTTTCTGGTTTGCTCCAATCTAGACTAGTTGCTCTCTATGCCTGATGGAAAGCCTTCATCTTGGGACCTTCTTAACCTTGAATTTGGAGATATCCTTTGTCCATCTCTTTCTCTAATTGAATCCCTCATTTTCGGTCTCCTAAATCTTTTCTTGTTTTATATCCCCATGTGGTGACGCAAATCTTCTAGCAGCTTCCTAAGAAAGTGTTTGAGAAGTAAATTTTTTGAGGCTTTGCATAACTAAAATATCTTTACCCTCTGACTTAACTGATAGTTTGGCTAGATTAAGAGTTCTAGGTTGGAAGTAATTTTTCCTCAGAATTCTGAAAGCTTTGCTATGCTATCTTCTAGCTTCTGTTTATTTTTGTTGAGGATTAGATCCATTTTGATTCCTGATCTTGTATAATTCTCACTCTGTTGCCCAAGGCTGGAGTGCAATGGCGCGATCTCGGCTCACTGCAACCTCCACCTCTAGGATTCAAGCGATTCTTGTGCCTCAGCCTCCCTAGTAGCTGGGATTACAGGCGCGCGCCACCACACCCAGCTAATTTTTGTATTTTTAGTAGATGGGTTTTCACCATGTTAGCCAGGCTGGTCTTGAACTCCCAGCCTCAGGTTATCTGCCTGCCTTGGCCTCCCAAAGTGCTTGGGTTACAGGCATGAGCCACCGTGCCTAGCCTTAACCGATGTTTTTTCTCTTTGAAAAATATTAGGATTTTCTCTTTGTCCCTAGGATTCTGAAATTTCAGGATCATACCTGGCCATGGACTATATCATAGCAATAGGTGCTTGGTGGGCCCTTTCAACCTGGAAATTCCCCCTTCAGTTCTTGGAAATTTTCTTGAAAATTTTTTGGGGCAATTTCTTTCCTTTTGTATTCCTGTCTGGGACTTCTATCTGGGTGTTGAATCTTCTGTACTGGTTCTCTAATTCTCCTTATTCCTCCACCCCTCTTAAAATGAACTTCCCTCCTTATTTCATAGTGAGAAATAAAAACTTTTAATGTGAGGAGTGCAAACCCCTTTTAATTATCAGGCCCAGAGAGGCACTGAAATGTGAGTGTGGGATAGCAGTCACACATCACTCTCCCCTGTGAACTAAATGACCCTCTTGAAGCTGCCTACTATGTGATGACAAGTAGCCATAAAATGCCATACATTAGATACCAAAACTCATACCATATAGTTCAACAATGTATAATCACTAATCAATGTTATTTCTGTAAACCAGTGAGAATTACTATCAAATAACTTAGCATCAGCCCATTCCTTGTCCTCTTTTGCCTTTAAGAACCTGGTTGCAACAAGGGCCGAATGGAGCACTCCCCAAGGCAACCTGGAAGTGTGTCCAAGGCAGCTGTCCTCAACCTTTACCCGAATAAACTCCCTATATTAATTTTGCCTCAGTTTCTTTAGTCTGACAATAGATACAATATCTTAAGTCTGTTGTCCTTGGCAGCCATTATTATGCTGCCAAATGACAGCTAACCAATCCTGGATAAAGAAAGTAGTAATCAAGGGTAAGTAATGGTGCTTCTGGAGCTGCACTGAGGTTGAAAGTGTATGATCCAAATGATGTTCCACCTCTAACTGCCTGTTCAACCAGAACATCTGAGCTTTGATCAGTTATGTATATATACATTGGGATTCCACGTTTGAAGAGAATTAAAGGCTTAAAGGTAGTATTTTCGCCATCTTGGCCCCAGGATGATTAGTAATTCTTTAGTAAGGTCTACTTTTTTTTGTAGGTGGTAGAGACAAGTGTGAGTAATTTGGGAGGCAGGCAAGGCCCCTCTGCTGGGTTTCCCCGACTGCTGAGCCTATTCTGTTTCTGGGTAAATGTTCTGCCAGAG